ACAAAGACAATGATGCTAGATACCTTGGCTAGTTTCGATTCAACGGCTGTCGACAGAAAAAGAGAATATATATTAGTACACTGAGAAAATAGCACTAACGTTGACTAATGTCAGTTGAGTCGATTTTTCTAGTGAGACATTTGCGTAACATGATAAATTTTACATTAGAAAAAAACAAGGAAAAATGTACTTTTCGGACACACGCATGTTAAAGATAGTTTTAAATGTTTTTTTTAGCTCTTGACTTTAGTTTACTCAAAGTTTATTAGCATTACAAGCCAATTGCCTTTGTTTTTCTGCAGTCTGTCAATGCAAAAAATATTTAGCGAAATATGCATCCCTTTTAGACCAAATTGCCTCATATATAGGTGGTACAGAATATGAAAATGTAGAACAGCAAATCACATGCCTTTCTAAATATAAGTAAAATAAAAGTAACAGTTTAAAGTTCACCTCTTACCTCTCCTATTACGTATTTGCTGCGCTACTCCATCATTACCCGTAGAACTTGCATCATCCATATTCAATATGCTTCGATTCTGTTTATGAACCAGCCACAAGGTTCTCGAGTTGAGAACCAAAAGGACAACGAAAGGCAATRCCACGTGGATAGCCATAAAACTGGCTGTGAATGCAATAGGACGGTCTCTCCACGACAGCCCACAATCCAGMCCTTTAGGGTCAAACTTGACATAATTGGCAGGGGCAAAACTAATCGTCAAAACAGCGCCATGGAGCCATGGATAGGCAATCATGCAAAGTCTAACTCTTGGAGTGACAATGGAAGAGTATTTCAGTGCGTAACCAAGAGCAAGAAACCGATCAATAGTCAGCATAACCATCGTCATGATTGAAATCGAGAATGTGGTGTACGATAGGAGTCCGCCAAGAGTACATAACACCCCTCCTTGACTTATAACTGTCACATCGATGATCGTTACAAACTGATAGCAGAGTGGGATCGCAGCCGTCAAGAAATCAGCGACAGCAAGACTCATTATTAGTTTGTTTGCAAAGCTGCTGCGAAGACGTGGATTCTTGATGAAGATGAAAATAAGAAGGAGGTTTCCTGTTAGACTGACAGCAATGATAAAACCTAATGATACACATAGCCCGATGGTTTCCGCCTTCGAGCGTGTGGTTAAGTCTGCTGTCTCGTTCATGGCTGGAGCTGTTGGAAATTTAGACTTGGCAGATGAGTTAGAGCTGCAGTAAAGAGCAAATCGAATTAGTTTCAATTGATAAAATTCSACTCTTCCAACATGGATAAGGTCTAGGATATAACATCGCGAAATGCTGTTTACCTAGAATGCAAGATGAAAAATTTATACCTTTAAAGTAAATGAACTTATGAAAACAATTTTCTAAACAAATTAAAGTCATATGATTCTTTAAAAAGGATTTTAATTGAGTCCGGAGGTTCAAAGACCAACCAGCATCACAGTAATGAATTTTGAATGAATTCCCTGATTAGTTCATTTCATAATGGATTTTAAAGTTCCGTCCGCCTGGAAAATCAAACAATTATAATTACAATAAATTCAGTATTGATTCGATGGACGTGATTGAGTAATGGATTGCTTGATTGAATAATTACATTTTCACCAACTTATTTGATGATTCAATTACTACACTTGTTTTCAATTTTAGGAACGAAATCAATACATTGACAATATGGTAAATGAACTACATTTCTAAAAGGCGGAAGCTTTTAGAATTTTCATGTAAAATGGGCCAAAAATGAAAAGAGTACATTTAGTAAAGCAAGTGCGAAGAACTCAAAATAGAGATGCAAAAATGACCGTTTGATAGAGAAAATCCCCATGTAAAGAGGGGGAAACATTTTAAAGGCCAGTTTACACTTGCGATTTTTGCAGCGCGATAATCGCCATTTACAATCGCGCAACTCAAATCGTACGTGTAAAAAGCACAAGTATAGCGAAGTATAGCAGACAATTTGAAACTCAGGAGATGGTGGCGCGACGATCGCCGCGAGAATCGCTTTGCAAAAATTGCCAAGTGTGAACGGGCCTAAAGGAAGTCAGCCAAGAAGGACGTGAGACTTTACCAAAGCCTAAGGATTACGATCCATACCTTTCATCAAAAGTAGGAATGAGCCAAACTTCAGGAGTATAGTTAGACCCATACATAAATGACTACCTCATGAAATTACAGATGCATTCTTACCATTTCAGGTTTTTTTTCCGGAATTCAGTCGTTGTTTTTAATTAAAATCATGTAAAACAAGTATTCATAAAGTAAATGGATGTTTTTAAAAAACATAAATAAACATATCAAAAAATGAAGCAATGATATTGTTTTGTGCATGCTTCTCACATACAGAATAGAGCTGAATAGCTTGAAATTATGTAGAATTAAAGGACTTGATAGAAGAAAACGGCATAGGAAAGCTCTTGCTCATATTCTCTTAGAATCAGTAGCATAATTACATACGCTGTTGCCGCCATAACAGGTTTGGTTAGTAGCTGTTTTTGCTCTTAATGATTATGTTGTTTTTTTTAGCAATAAGAATTAATGAAGAGATAGGATAAAACGAACATTTGTGTAAGTGAACAAGCTGAGTAAATATATTTAAAAAGGGCTCTATATTCAGGGTGTTAATGGGCGGTCTCAATGTCGGTATTCAGTTAAAATTTCAAGCATTTGTCGCTAGTCAGTTGAAATTCTAGGCATTTGTCGGTAGTCGGTTATTTAAAAAAAGTTGATAAACATTAAGTTTATTAAATGCATCTAAAACGGTGCTTTATACCAACAGAATTCTTTCTAAAATGCCAACAATTGAATCCTCGAGTCTTGATTGGTCAATTGGATGCCCTTAAAGTTTTAGAGTGGCTCATCACAACTTCAAGAAGCCAATCCGAAGCAAAATTTATTTTTTCCGCGGAAAATTTCGAATGTAGTTGCTTGAAAAATAAAAAAAAAGCTTGTATTCACGGAGCTAACATCTTTGAATATTGGAAAATGTCGCCAGTCAGTAAATTTGTTAATGTCGGTAGTCAGCAAATTTTGTTGAAATTTGTCGCTAGTCAGTAGTTATTTTGTCCATTTGTCGCTAGTCGGTTAACCCCATTCAGACCCTGTATATTCCCGCAGTGAGAATGAAAAAAAAATAAAAAAAATGAAAAAACAAATATGATGCCTTTGCAAGGCATACAGAGTGTAATAAAAGCAAAATTGTTTCTGTGCAAATATTACATAGTTAATGATAACTCAGCAATGAAAACCGGCATATTGTAAGATTAAATGAAATATTGGCGGTCTTGCAAGAAAAGACCCCCTGCATTGACAACTCAAGTCGGCAAACTTACCAGTTCTGTCAGACTTTTACAGTAGTGAAGAACTTTTAACTTTAGTTTATTTTTTCAGACTTAGCTAAAGTGACTGTTTTTATTTCTTTCGTTTCCCTTCCTTCCTTGTTAAAATTAAAATGTAAAACGAGGAGAACGTGGACAAACGCCTGAGTAGGGAAAACGTTAATTCGATGAGGCCGGCTTTCGAATTGACCTATAAACACACCATCATAACAATTTCAAGCGAGCAAATATGCGAGCGACCAATAAGAAAGTTCCTAATTTGTTAAAAGCCTCCCTAAAATGCATGCWATTAATGATATACGTCATTAAAATCAAGTAACTGCTCAGAAACATAAGAAAATTGGATTTTAGTTAATATGCCAAGTGGAAGGGCAGCTGAACCATTGCAAAATATTTATTGCTTTTTCACAAAAAGCAAACTGAAATGTATTATATTTATCAAGAGTAATAAATTTTATAATGATGACGAAATTCATTCTATTTTGCAAATTTTATTGCAGTGCCACTGATCAACTCAATATTTGAAAAAATACAACATCAGCGTCCTAGCTTTCAGACCCGATAAATATACGACATGGTCGCACCCTTTGAAAAATTCGTTTTCTGTGGATATATACAACAGTAAGAATTAATTAGGGACGGTCCATTTAACTTTGTGGGGCTGGATAATTTTGAAAAAAAAAATCCTGCAAGCCATCTTCACCAAAAATAAAAATCGTGCACAACATATGGACCTAAAGAAAGTCTTGTACCACCCTAAGCCCCAAAAAAATGTTACATACAAGAAAAAAAAATCCTACACACCACCAAGAGAAAAAAAAAATATCCTACCCAAAAGCCACGAAGAAAAAAAAAAGTTAATAGTTCAATAGTGACTTTAGACAATACAAAGTACTTGTTCAGTTTCTCTCCTTCCGCGTAAGTGTACTTCTCGCTCTGGCCCGCATTGATGATAACTTAGTAATTGCTTTGGAACTTCAAAGTATACTCGTTCAATTTCTAGTCCTTTTTCGATAAAAAGCGTTTTAACTTTAAGTGATACTGCTAAATCAACTTTACTTACCAATTTGCCAAAGTCAAAGAAGCCTCTGACACCTTGACAAAGGCAATGTAACATATTTCTTTCTTCGTTCCATTGCGGGAATACTTCCTTAGTTCTTCAGTTTTTGAATCGTTGTTCTTCTTATCAGTGAATAATGGGTACTATACTAGCATTTCAAGACAAAATAGTGTTCACTTTTCGGACAAACTAATCGATTCCGAAAACCAAAAAACCCTTTTACCAAGCTCTCATCAGTTTTTCTTCGAGTTGCCTGTCTAGCTGTCGTCTAAGTAAATGGGATAGACAAAGTAATACTTAAAGCAGAGGTCTTTTAATATGTATCTTGAGTCTTTATATGGCGRTGATGTATGACGCAACTCCCTTATGTCTGTTGTTCAAGAGCCAGGCTGGGATCACCTGATATTTGATCGAACCCGTCTTAGGTTGAAACGCTAARCTGTCAAAAAATGTTTAATTAAAATGTAAAGTTGAACGAATGAAAGTGAAAATAATGTTTACACATGTTGAAGACAATAAATAGATAAGATAAACATTAYGACAGGATGTACCTAAAATAATTTTGTCTTAAGCGAATATTGTATTGCAATGATTATGAACAAAAAGATTTAACAGTAGAAGTTTAGTGATGATAAAATCATTTGTCTTTGCTTGAAAATACCAGTTACGTMACTCAAAKACAAGTGTCCATCTTGATGCAGGAGCCTCTTTGTTAACTCGATTAGATGCTATAATTGATGGGGTATCTTAAGATTTGCTGTCTTTTTGCTTAGCAAATCGGCAGGCATWGGGCAAAGAAGTAAAACGAAGAGATGTTTGTTGATACTGAAGTAACAAACGTTTTTCCTCGAATATTGCATGCAGCTAGCTGCTACTTTTACAAAATCAAGATGGCGGCGTCTTTCATCCCGAGGAGCCATGAAACATCCAATGTATATATGAGACGTACTCACACTAATTTTAATACTACTTTTTTGAGCCCTGTTTTACTATATTGCCGCTGCAAACAGTTACAGACTTATWTTAATGTTTCTCCTCCATGACATTTATTAAAGAACATGTAACTCAGTTTTTGTCGTCTGCATGATTTTGAAACATCACTTTAAATCTTTGKTGAAACTCGTTCTTGGCTTGATCAATTGACCCATAGCGATATAAGATGAGTAGAAACTGCAAAGAGATAAACATAGAAACGTGTTTCACTACGTATTTGGAACTCAAGGTGAAGAATTAAGAAAGTTATGTAAGTAGATACTTAAGTGTTTTCCATAACCCGGTTTCCAAATAACATTCCAGTGACACGATTTTGAAAATGTATTAACATTTTTGGTTGTTTTATGGATTCTTTTGTAGAGTAGTATAACTCGATCACTAAAGGACACATAGCAGTAAAGAGGTTGTGGCTAATCGAAGCAGTTAAATTTTCATTGGATTATATTCACTGACTTCACTGTGCTGTGTTCATTACGCACCGAGTAGTGAACGATCGTCACCATGGAAACATTTTATCTTTTAAAGGGGGGGAAGTAAGTCATTAAAAGGCGAAAATTACTCAAATTGGACTCCTTTTTCACTTGCAAATGAGCTATYTCATATACTAACTGGTTTAACTGGGTCACTGTGAAATTTAGTTTCTCTCCTATACTAAATTCTATTTATTAAGTTGATTATCTATGTACCTTCAAAGCTAATGTTGATAGCATAGCCAGTATGAGCATCACTATGACTGCGACCAAAGCRGCTGTACTCAAKTGATTCATTCCTACAAGCGAAGCCAACCAATGTTGACGATAAGCTGAATACATGCTCTTTCGATGTTCGCATTCTTTGATTTCGCCTTAAAGAGTTAAAAAAAGAAGACAAAATCATCTGGAATATTAGCAGTCTTTGATTGAGGATTTTTTTTTCTACACAAGATAGTATAATAGTCTCCTTCACGGCTCCCTGCGCCATCTTGAATCGAAGCGAGACCACCGTTGAGCGTGCAATAGATACCTGTGAATCATTGTCTGTAGGTATGAAAGAAGGTTTCTATCATTGCACGCTCAACGGTCGTCTCGCTTCATTGCAAAGGCACGGTTACATTTCAAGATGGCGCAGGTAACCGTGAAGGAGACTTTTCTTTCAAAGTGTCAATCAAATGCGAGATAAGCTTACCATCCATGAAATCAAACTTGATATCCTCGATTAACGTTTGAGTTTTTAAACACACATGGAATACCGATACRAAACACTGTCCTTTGTAGTTCACACCAATGCGGCCATCGCTGTCAACAATAATGAACACATCAAATTCATATACTGCGCATGAGCAGGTCATTTCTCGCACCTCTTCACTRTCCCACATGGAAACAYAGTAGACATACAATTGCTTACCAAGATGCAGGAAAATCTAGTGTCCAACCCTCTCCCTCTGACAGACGTTTGTACTTATTGGTATGGGTCAGTGTCAAGATCGCGGGCGTGCAAGAGGAGTTCACTAAATATAGAGATTTCTGTTGAAAAAAAAAATAATAATAAAATAATCATAAAATAACTTCAAGTTCTTTACCAACTTTTTTTAAATAGTGTAAGGTGTACTTACGGGTCCAATATTTTTKAGTCTTATTTGCGTACCCATGTGGCTGCTTTGCTGTACCACAGAAAGTTGTCCCATTTTATCTACAAATAAAAAAAATGCCTAACGCTAAATAATGATTATATAACGCATGTGAAAAAAATGTTCCCATAAGAATTTGGGTTCTATCAAGCTTGGGGTAGGTTTTAGTACCGTCTTTCATGGAACGCTATCTTTGCGCCATATTGAGCTATGTATATTYTTGTGTGCAGACATGCACTCAAAGATGTATCTATGGAAATGTCACGTTCGATTCAGTGCTGGGGGTCGAATGGGGACAACTGATATGGGTGACTTACAGGAAGAGCAGTTRTAAAARAACAGCCCATTCGGCCAGACAGATAGTGTTACTTTGCAGGTTATATAGCTGTTGGGGTCTTCAGTCCATGTGGACAGCAGGCATTTATGTTTGCGCACCCTAGAATCTTGATGATAATGGGATGGTGATACAGATATTGAAAACAGGATTTCTTTTGTAGCTCCCTGTGRMAAMAMAWWTWSWGT